GCACAGCCCCCCCCACCCCCCAGCCCCCAAGTCACGGCGTAGGTTTCCTTCCTGCTCCTGACTACTTCCTGGGCCTAGAGTCCGTCCTGGGAAGTCCTTCTCCCAGCACAGAGGGAGCCGTTCTGAGAGCTCCCATCACGGGGCAGAACGTGACTGACTCTCAGGACCCCTTTGCCCCATGACGGAGGCAGCGCTAGACTTTTTGCAGAGCTCTGACTGACTGTCCCTGACTGACTTGGGACAGTTTTTTCCTTTCCGAAGGTTTTAGTTCCTTCACCTAAAAGTAAGTCGTGGATTGGAATAATCATAATGTCCTTCAGCATGGGCCCCGAGTGCTGCTTTAAAGGTGCTACTGATTGGAAAGGAGATGGCGGGGGGGGCGGGGGGGGACCTCCCTCTGCTCACCCTACCCTGGCTCACAGCCTTTCTCTTTACCGCCTGGCTCCTCGGGATGCTGGCTGTGTGAGCCACTGAGTAGGGCAGTCATGATCATAGGCACTTGTTACTGTTGTTAGGAAAACTATCCTAGCCAGGACAGCGGAGGTGATGACAGGGGTGACGGCCATGACAGAACGGAGGTGGTGGAGCTACAGGAGGGTCCAAGGGTGTGAGATCTACTCTCACGAACTTTGACTCAATTTGACAAAATCACATCCCGACTCTAACGCCTCTTCCGAGCGGTGCCTTTTGCGATAAGAAAAGGACAAGTGAAAGCACGTGTGTCCGGATCTCCTGAGAAAGGCCACGGTGCGGGGCGGCAGGTGGAGAGAACCCTGCACTGAGCTGAACTGGAAATGCCTGATTGGCACTTCCTCGCTGCTTAGCCACTGACGCCGCAGCAGCTGGTCGGGAAGGTATCTGATGCCTCCACTGGCTGTCACCAGCACCTGCCTCCCGAATCCTGATCGGGGAGATGGTGTCATCGGGCCGCCCAAATAAAATATTCAGTGACATTGCTTCCCACAGAGGCGGTCGTGGCCTCCGCTTGGCATCGGAAGGGCTCGGGGTAAGATGTCCCGGGAGGCTCCGCTGGTAAGGCAAGCGTCCCACGGCTGCATGTCCTGGTGCGAGACTTGGGGTGAGGGAGAGGCAAGCTTTGGCTCTTGAGAATGCATGTGACAAAGTGACTTCACGAACTAGACAGAGAGAGGAGAAGTGATGGTGAAAAGGAGGCATCATGGAGTGGAAACTCCGGAGGCTGACATTAGCAGAAGATCGGAGTTAGGAGAAAATAATAGGTATGCAAAGTCACGGGCCTACGCTCACTGGCTTCAACCAAATCGAGGATGGACAGTTTATTCTAAGACAGAGCATAGAATGGACGGAGGTGAAGAGCTGGAAATATTGACAAATAAATTACTACTAATAAAGACTAATGAATGGTGAACACTTATGACGGGCCAGGCATTGTTCCAAGTGCTCTATCTGTATTAACTGAGTTCACTGTAATAATCCCACGAGGCAGTTGCAAGTACTAATCCCATTTGATGCAGATAGTGAGATAGCATCGCAGAATGGCTGGGGACCTTGACCAAGTTTGCACAGCTATCCAAGCACCGCAGCTCAGCGTTCATGCATTTAACCATTGCACCGCACGGCTTCTCGTCAGAGGTACCAAGGAGGGGGCTCGTCCCCCTTTCTCTGAACGCCGAGAGGAGACTGGATCCTTGCCAGCTGGGCGCTGCTTTGGAACAGTGACCTGGTTCCATCAGCATTGGCTTGGAAACCCAGAGGCCCTCAAATTGCTGTGGGAGTCAGTTGCCTTGTGAAAGCCACACTCCTGAGGTAGAGTGGGCGCCTTCCCTGCCAACCCCCTGCCCTGCAGGAGACCATGCCGCCTCCTGCCTCCACTCCGCCAGCGCCTGCTGCTCCCACACGGGTGAACCTTGAGCCCCATGGGATGAATTCGCTGGGCTGGTCACCAAGAGTGGCCTGTCTCAAAGTGGATGCTGATGGAGGAGTTGGGGTGGGGGATGGGGGGTGGGGGAGAAACAGGCCCAACTGTGCTGGTCTGTTGAGAATTCCTGACCTAACTAGCTTTATCAGGTCGGAGGGAAGGACCCCCGCAGCTTTCTCAGTCACAGACTAGAAGCTGAAGGAACCAAGCAAGCCTCAAGGCATTATTTCATTTGAAAGAAGAAATCTTACAAACTGGCTCATGCAAGCCCCCTTTATTTTAAAATCAAGAAATGGGCTCAGGGAGATGCGAGACCAGTCTAACGCCATATGGCTCATGGCTAACAGAGACAGGATTTGAATCAAAAGCTCCTGAGACCCCCACTCTTCCTCCTCCCCCATGACTGCATGCCTTCTAGCCACCAGACCAATTTCCCCATTTCAGCTCTCAGGATCCTGCATCTCTGCCAACGTCCCCACAGGCGGCCGAGAGACTGTGTTGGGACTTGTGCAGTGGTATGATAGAGAAGATCACCTCAGATCTGTTCTCTTTCCTTTGACACATGCTTCCCAGATTGAACCCCTTCACGGGGTCAGGGAAAGCTGGGGGTCAAAGGTCTACCCACCGTGTCCATTCCCATGGAAAGAAAGAATATGAGCAAAAAAAGGAAGCCGGGGGCCCTGGCAGGATTCCTGAAGTGTGGTCTCCTGGGGAGGCTTCGGTGAAAATAGTAACAATGAGCAGAGACTGAGTATTCACTGTGTGCCAGCCAGCGGGCTCAGAGGTTCCCCTGCGTTATCTCATTTACTCTCATGACAGGCAGAGAGGTCGGTACTGCAGTGACCCCCACTCTCCCAGAAAGGGAGATGAGACTTGACTTGCCCACTTTCCCAAACTTGTTCCCAAACTCTGCCTACCAACCAAGCCACTCATGATTCAAACCCTGTCTTGGGATGTTGGGTAGGGAGGTGAGACGGTTGATCTTAGCCTCACACTTTGTCCTTTGAGGTTATCTCTGCTACCAGGACCTTCTTCCTGTAGCCACGGGCTGACTCTAATGTGCATGTACGTGGGGCTAAATAAGGTGCATGGATGTCAGGCTAAACGTAATGTGCATGTATGTCGTGGAGAAGGCAGGAGAGTGCTGTCCACAAATTCAGTGCCAGAGTGTCTGAGAGAGCACGTTCCAAAAGGCAAGACCCTAGCACCATGTGGTGAGAGTCATTTTCCTCCTCGTGGCTCCTGGTGGGACACGCTGTCCTTCCCCTGCTGGGACGGGGCATGCCCAGCACAGCCTCCGGCCTCCCGTGGCGCCCTGTCCCGCGGGGGACGTGAGGATTCTGTTATTTCCTTTTGCAGCTCCTCTTGAGGAATTCACGTCCTGCCACCAGCCCCAGGACATCGCTAAAAATAACCTCCGGTTTTTAAACCGAAAGCTCTGCCTGTCGGAGGTCTTCCTGGTGGGTGCGGGCGCGAGGCGGAAGGGCCATGCTGGAGTCCCCGAGGTCAGCCCGGGCCTCACGCCGCCGTGGCCTTCCTCTTTCCGAGGGAGCCCGGGCCTCATGAGTCACCCCGCGGAGCTGGTTGGAGGACAGCGGTCAGGTGGCCCCTCTGGCACCGCGGTGGCTGTCAGGCCCTGGGCCCAGGGTGCAAGGGGAGGAAGGAGAGTGTCTAAAGATACGGAGTAAATTCCTGAGGTGGCGCCTGGCCTGATTCTAACCCAGCCCAGCCAGCCCGGCGGGTGGAAGTAGGCAGGACCCTGCTAAGCTGCCTGGGAGCCAGTTCTCCATCCTGGGCCAGGGTGTGTTCACTTCTGTCGCCTGGCTGCCTAGAGTTGCCTGCCCTTGTCTGAGAAGGGTGCCGGGCCATTTGTCCATTTGTCCAGCGGGAGAAAAGAGTCCCTGCCAGACGGCGCAGCTCGCGGCCTCCTCCTGCTGCTGTCCCTCTCCGCACTGGCCATGAGCAGCGCTCTCAGAGTGGGGGACAGGCCCCTCTGCTCCTCTGGCCCAGGCATCTCCAGAAGCCCCGGGAGCCCCCCACTTTGCTCCTCTGGGCGGCTTCCTGGGAAAACAGAAGAGCTATAGAACCCGAGGGTCTGGTGGGTATAGAGTCGGGAGACAGGCTCCGAGGGATAGGCTGAGGCCGGGGGTGACCTCATGGATCCTTAAATAGTCACGAGGCCTCGGCAGTAGCTACAATGAGACCGACCCTCAACTTGCTTTCGTTTGCCCCTCTCGCATTTTCCAAACCCACCAGGCCTCTGAAGCTGGGCTGCAGGGGGCCAGCCCGCCTGCACAGAAGCAGAAGTTGAAGCAATGTCCCCAGGGCCTGGCAGCCCCCTCACCGGGTGGCAGTGACTGGCACCCGCCTATCTCAAAGAGGAATGGGTGGGGGGTGTCTACCCATCTCCCCGGGGCTGTTCAGGTTCCTGAACGGCACGGGTGACAGTCCCAGGCCTGTTGGCCACAGCGTATCTCACATGTCTCACAGGTTGTAACAGGTAACATCAGGGGTTCTTCCTCTGGAGAGGCGGAGGCTGAGGGGCAGCGGGAGGCACTGCCATTCAGATGTCCCTCCCCGTGGAGGACAGAGCTTGAGGAAGGAGGTGCAGCTGCATGAGGGCCTGGAAGTCTGAGACCAAGAGGAATTTTGTTTGCGATGTCCCGCTCTGGGAGTAGTTGGCCAGGGGAGCCCAGGGGAGGGCCTGCCCCTCAAGCATTTAAAATGGGGAGATTTCCACCTGGCGGGGGAGAGGGCAGACGTGATGCCTGGGAGGGAAGACTGGCTTTAGTCCCGACCCGGGATCCACTGGCCCGGTGAACTTGAACTGGCTTTTAACCTCTCTGAGAGATAAAAACGGTGTCTTAAGAGGACAGAAATAGAGATGTTTTGTAAAGCAAAAGAAAGGAATTTACAGCGTAAAGGCTGGAGACCAAAATAGATAACAGGATTCCCTGAACAACCCCAAGAGGGAGAAAGTCTGTTAAAAATAGAAACACTGAAATACGCAAGGAAGGGATGCAGAGCCAGCCGGGGCTGGGACTCCGGGTCAGGCCATCCGATTCACTCCTCTCAGGACCGATTTCCCACCTGACCTCCCTGCCTTGTGTTTTCCAGAACCATGTGAGGGCCAACCCAGGACGGCGGCGTGGATGAGCGCTCAGAGGATCCGCCTCCTGGTCCTTGCCCCGCTCAGCATGGAACAGAGGAGGCCCTGGCCACGGGCGGAGGTCGACAGCCGGTCTGTGGTCTTGCTCTCCGTGGTCTGGGTGCTGCTGGCCCCCCCGGCAGCCGGCATGCCTCAGTTCAGCACCTTCCACTCTGAGAACCGAGACTGGACCTTCAACCACTTGACTGTCCACCGAGGGACGGGGGCAGTGTACGTCGGGGCCATCAACCGGGTCTACAAGCTCACGGGCAACCTGACCATCCAGGTGGCTCACATGACGGGGCCGCGGGAGGACAACAAGTCTTGTTACCCGCCCCTCACCGTGCAGCCCTGCAGCGAGGCGCTCACCCTCACCAACAACGTCAACAAGCTGCTCATCATTGACTACCCCGAGAACCGCCTGCTGGCCTGCGGCAGCCTCTACCAGGGGGTCTGCAAGCTGCTGCGGCTGGACGACCTCTTTATCCTGGCGGAGCCATTCCACAAGAAGGAGCACTACCTGTCCAGCGTCAACAAGACGGGGACCATGTACGGGGTGATCGTGCGCTCCGAGGGGCAGGACGGCAAGCTCTTCATCGGCACGGCCGTGGACGGAAAGCAGGATTACTTCCCCACCCTGTCCAGCAGGAAGCTGCCTCGCGACCCCGAGTCCTCCGCCATGCTGGACTACGAGCTGCACAGTGACTTCGTGTCCTCCCTCATCAAGATCCCCTCCGACACCTTGGCCCTGGTCTCCCACTTCGACATCTTCTACATCTACGGCTTCGCCAGCGGGGGCTTCGTCTACTTCCTCACGGTGCAGCCCGAGACCCCCGAGGGGGTGGCCATCAACTCGGCCGGAGACCTGTTCTACACCTCGCGCATCGTGAGGCTCTGCAAGAATGACCCCAAGTTCCACTCCTACGTGTCCCTGCCTTTCGGCTGCACGCGGGCCGGGGTGGAATACCGCCTCCTGCAGGCGGCTTACCTCGCCAAGCCCGGGGCCTCCCTGGCCCAGGCCTTCAACATCAGCGGCCAGGATGACGTGCTCTTCGCCATCTTCTCCAAAGGGCAGAAGCAGTACCACCACCCGCCCGATGACTCCGCCCTCTGTGCCTTCCCCATCCCTGCCATCAACTTGCAGATCAAGGAGCGCCTGCAGTCCTGCTACCAGGGCGAGGGCCACCTGGAGCTCAACTGGCTGCTGGGGAAGGAAGTCCAGTGCACCAAGGCGGTAAGGAGGCGCGCACCTGCTCTGCCCCGATGTGGGGCTCCCGCTCCGACTGCCCAGCCTGTGCTCTGTTGCACACCCAGGTTCACATCCTCGGGTGGTGACCAATCGCACCGAGTCTGACCTACACCAGACACACGTTTATTGGTCCACTGAGTCATTCAAAATATGGTTGACCCTTGAGCAATGAGGTTGGGGCACCGATCCACTGTGCGGACAGAAATTCACTTATAACGTTTGACTCCCAAAAAACGTAATTAATAGCCTAGTGTTGACTGGAAGCCTTGCCCATAACATAAACAGTTGATCAAAACTTATATTTTGTATTACTGGATACTGTATTCTTAAAGTAAGCTAGAGAAAAGAAATACTAAGAAAATCTAAGGAAGAGAAAATACATTTATAGTATTTATTGAAAAAACATGCATGTTGCTCAAGGGTCAACTAATTATATATATATATCTCAAGAGCCTACACAACACCAGGCACTGCCGGCTTCAGTGGTGACCTGAACAGCAAAGCCCCCTACCCTCATGGAGCTTTCATTAGTGAGGCAAGACAAATAAATGCATAACATATATAGCCTGTCAAATGGTGATGATGGCTGTAGAGAAAAATAAAGCAGAGAAAGGGAAGAGGCAGTCCCTGAAAGGGTTGATTCATTGAGAAATGGGGCCTGTGAGCAAAGACTGAGGAGGGTAAGGAAGCGAGCCATGTGGGGATCTGGGGAAAACATTCCCGAGAGGGAACGGCAAGGGCCAAGCATGCGGGGCATGCCTGGCGTGTGTGGGGATCGGCAAGGAGGCCACTGCAGCTGCATCAGCGCATGCGGGAGAAAGAATAGAAGGTGAGGCGGGTGGTCAGAGATAACAGGACCAGATGGTGTCTGTGCAGAGGCGTGTAGGCCACTGGGAAGCCAAGTTGGGGTGTCGGGTAGGCAGGTGGAAATGGAAGCGGAGGAGAGGGAAGGGAATTAAGCTCAAATGGTAGATTGCAAACTGGAGAAACATAATCCGGTGAAGGGAAGAGAGGAGGAGAAAGGGAGCTCTGGATCCAGGCCAGAGGGCAGCAGAAACAAGATAAGCAGTTGCGAGCACTATCCTGTCAGAGAGGGTCCCAGTAGAGTATTCACCAGCTTTTCAGGTGGGTCCTTTCAGGGTCATGGCCTCTACTGATGGGTCAGTGTCAGAGCCGGGGGCCATTGGTCAGTGCAACTGGTCCTGAGGTCAGCCATGACATCGCTTGTCTGATTTTGCTGCTTTTCTGGGCCTGGAGATGAAACACAACTGAGGCCTAGATATATCTGATGTGGGTCAGAGCCTCCTTGTCTTGGAGCTTAATGCTTAAGGGCTATTCTCCACCCCTCCTCCCTTCCCCCGCTAAGGGGGTCTAACCCAATAGACTAGAAATATGTCAGGGGAGCATCAAAAATGCATGACCAGAAATATGAATGGTCAGGGGGGCTCTAAACCACATGACCAGGGATATGCTAGGGGACAAAGGTTACCCGGGGACCAGGTCTTTGTTTTCCTAGTATTGCCCTTTGCTAGGCACCTGGGGCTTTTTGTACCTGGCTATCATCCTTGTTCTACTCATGTCTACCTGCCTACCACAAGTTCAAGTTATTTCTGTCTAGCCACGCTGCTTTAAAGAAAGCCACACTCTAAGATCTCACCATTTGAGCAAAAGCGAAGGCGCATCAGGTGTTTGGGAGGATCTGACAGTTTAGAGAACAGAGAGAGAAATGTCAGCCGATCCCAGGGGTTTAGACTGAGAATAAACCATTTTCCTCGTGGTCTGGACATTCTAGAGTCAGGAGGGTGTAGAGAAACCCACAATCACCAGCAGACTTTTGCTTCTGTCATCATCTCTCAGAAGCTGGCTTGGACTATGGCTGTGTGCAGACTCTGCAGCTATGTCAGCCCCAGGAGATGGTGGGAAATAAACCGAAACCTTGACAGGGACTTGCAGAGTTGAAAGGAAGGTTGATGATTACCTGGTCCACCCCTTTCACTTCACAGATGGGAAAACTGAGGCCCAGAGCGGGCATGTGACACATCAAGGTGAAGTGGCTAGTTGGTCTTGGAGACAGGACTATAATCTAGATCTTAGGAGTTTTCCAGGGCCCCTGCTGCCTGCCGTGTGGGGATGAGAAGGACAAGTAGATGTAAAAGGTAGTAGCTGCTCCTCTGGCTCCATTCCTAGGTTCAAGATTCTTTCCACATGGGCTCCCGTGGTGTGCTGGTAAAGATTAAACAGCTAGCTCTATGCAGGCTGTGGTGGTGGTGGTGGTGGTGGTGGGAGCCTTGCCTAGAAGCATTTGCTAATGTCCATGGTGTGAATGCTCCCACCACAGCCAATTTCACTCCACCAGTGTGATGTCACTGAATGCAGAGATGTGTCGTCAACCCTCAGGGGCTAGCTCCAGCATATCCCTGCTCCCTTCCCTCCCTTCCTCAGAAGCTCATCCCTTCTGCTGGGGCGGGGCATGGGTGCGGTGGTGGCTCCATCTTACCAGAGTTCAAGGTTATCTTCACCCTAAAAGTTAGTTCTCTTTCCTAAAGAATACACACACACTCTCACATACACACACACACACACACACACACACTAACACACACATACAAGGGCAGACCACCATTCCTACCAGCAGCAGGAGCACAGTTCTCTCCAAAACACAAGTGCCTGTTCCTGTGTTTCTCGGGAGGGAACGGAAGGAAGACCCTGGTTTAGCAAGCACATGTCCTAGCTTATACACCAGTTATTTTAAGGCCAGGAGGCCGCTGACCAGTGAGGCACCAGCCAGCTATTTCCTGGGAAGGGTGAGAGGAGGTTGAAGGGAACAGGTTGCAAGTTTTTCCCTGACGCTTTCTACGCGACAACAGTCATTTCCTTCCTCCTCTGGGATGCCTTTCCAGACCCAGAAGAAACAGCTGTCACAGGACTCCAGGCTCTCAGCTGGCCCAGAGTGGGCAGCCTTTGGCAACAGGATTCCAGGTGTACAGTCCACTGAGGTGTTTCGGAGGGCCCGTCATGGCCCAGCCCCAGGATGGGCACTGGGCAGAGACCACAGGCCCTTTGGCACCCCCTGTCCTCAGGAAGCATAGTCTTTTTATTTACATAACTGAATGCGATCTTAGAAATAATCAATTTAACACCCCCCTTTAACAGCAACCAAAGAGGATGTTACTGGTCCAAGTTGATACATAGAGGTACTTAGCGGTAGAGCAGAGGCTAGAACTCAGGGCTTCCTACTTTCAGTCCAACTCGTTTTTCATTGCTTTAAGGTGATCTTCTTTCCAAAGTGCCCTAGTCTCTGTCAATAATGAAAATATAAAAATGAATGGAAGTGCCCCTAGTCTCTCCTGAAAGATACACAGAGGCACAACACCACTCCCTTCACCACTGGTAGCAGGGCAGCTGTCACCTGGATAGGGCAGAAGGCCTTTACTGGACAGTGGAAATCACTACATAACTTCAGACTCTCCTGCAGGCATTGTTTCATTCGCTCTTCAGTCATTCTCTCAGAAAGATGGGCAGGTGGTTTGACAAATGAAGAAACTGAGGTTTATATAGATTAAGTGCATTTTTCAAATTAAAATTTTATGTTCGACATTAAAATGACCTTTTCCAATCCATCCCCCGTATAGAAAGTGGTAAATAGTTGGCTTAAAATTCTTTATGCCCAAAGGGAGGCGTGGCATCCCAAACAAACAAGAAATCTTTTCCAGGCTGGTAGAAATCCTAGGAAGTTGCCTCTGGACCGAACCACTACTGTCTAAATAGAAAGATCACCAAAATGACATGTCCACCGAGACATTAAAATGACCAGAAAGTGAATTTAAGCCATCAGCTTTACAAATTACCCTGGATCTCTTGATAGAAAGGGAATGGTGACTGCAGGTGAATGAGGAGATCGGCTGGTATCACTGGATGCCCCTGTGGGACACACGGGTCAGCTGGTGAGATGTTGTTTACAGCGAGTGTCAGGGCCCTGCTCCTGTGTCACACCTCGCCGAAGCCTGGTCCTGGGGCTGGGGCTTAGGGGTGGGCTACAGACTGATGGCTGTGACTCTGCTGTTGTTCACCCCCATCTCCTCCCCTTCCCTCCAGCCGGTCCCCATCGACGACAACTTCTGTGGATTAGACATCAACCAGCCGCTAGGAGGTTCTACGCCGGTGGAGGGCCTGACCCTGTACACCACCAGCCGGGACCGCATGACATCAGTGGCCTCATATGTTTACAACGGCTACAGCGTGGTGTTCGTGGGGACTAAGAGTGGCAAGCTGAAGAAGGTAAGAGACTGCGAGCCCGCGGCCCTTCAGCTCCTCAGCTGGGAGCCGCTTTTGGAAGGGAGCTGTTGGTGGAGATGAACAACAGGCCACTCTGATGTTCTTGGCAGACGGGGTCGGATAGCGGAGTTATTTTTGTGGCTTATCTTCTAGCTGTTTCCCCAGCCATTCGTCAATGGGTGTGTAGGAAATGCAAGTGTGTTTCCCATTGCCCACCCTTCAAGGAATTAGGAAGGTGGGTTTGCCTAAGGGAGAAAAACACTCCACTCTTTATCTCCAAGTCAAGAAGAACTGATTTGATTATTTGATTCTCTGTATTATAAATTGCCAACATCATGAATTCCTCCCCACGGCCCGGAGAGTTGATTGTACTGGTCAAAAGTCTTTGTTGAGTTCAGAGCATCTGGCCTCATGAAGCAGATGAGGGGTCTCCATTCTAAGGACAGGGCAGATGGTGGGGCTGCCCTCCGAGGGCACATGGTGCCTGGGGAAGACACTATCCTTCCATCTCTCCTCTTTCAGAAATTACAGAGTCTTCTCCACTCCTCCACTCACACCGCCCCCCAAGCTCTGAGCTTCCAGGAGGAAGTAGACATCTTAACCCCTGCCTGCCCTGGGCACCTCTGCCAACGGGAGGGCCAGGGCTGTCTGGGCTAACAGTGTGGGCGGCCTTGTGTGCAGCCGGCTTGTAGCTGCTTGCCTGGTGCTTGGGTGCGGAGACCGAGCACGGACTGGCTCATTATGTGGGATTACGGCGGCCACATTCTTTCCGGTCCCAGCTAATCCCCTTTCCCTAAACTTACCTTCCTGCCACCTTTCCCCAGCCCTCCCCCCACCTGTGGATCAGGGCACATGTGGGACATCACCACGTCTCACCCTTGATGTTGCCATCACCCCTATAGCTCTTCCCTCCTAATCCATTTAGAGCCTGGGAGAGATGTTATTTGGGAACGAGGGTGGCAGGGCGGGAGCCTGAGGAAGAATTTCTGTGGTTCGCTTGTTCTGATCTGCTGCCAGAGGAGGTGAGAACAACAGGTCTGCATGTATGTGGAGGTGCTGAACCCTCCAGACCTCTTCTGGTTCTCATGAGACCAACGCCCTTTGGCCCTTTCTCCTTTCCCTGTGCTGTGCCCGCTCCTCTGCCAGTGAATCCTGGCTTGGCTTTTAGACACATGGAAGGAAGGCTGAGTGTGGTCCCGGCTTTCCCAAAACGAGGGAGGAAAGGAACTGCCTGATGAGATTCCATTAAGATTTAACAGTGATATATTCCGCCCGCCGGTGTGGCTCAGTGTCCACCCATAAACCAGGAGGTAATGGTTCGAATCCCGGTCAGGGCACATGCCTGGGTTGCAGGCTCCATCCCCAATAGGGGGCGTACAGGAAGCAGCTGATTGATGATGTTTCTCTCTCATCGATGTTTCTATCTCTCTACACCCCTCCCCTCCTCTCTCTCAAAAAATCAATAAAAACATAAAAGTGACGTATTCCACCAGACAAGGTTCAACTTGAACCCCGCGGCTGGCTGCTTCCCTGCTCAGCAGCTTCCTGTACTCCTGTGCGGTTGGGTAGACTGCTCCTTGCAAGGGGGCTTTGGACCAAGGGGCTTATGGGAGCTGAAGTCCACCTCAGCTCTCCCTGGCAACCATGCCCCTGAGGGTATAAACATTCTCCCAGAGCGGCTGCCCTTACTAGTCTCTCTGCCCATAGAGACCACCTTTTTCTAAACCACACAAGGGCTGTCTGGGGCAGCAGTAGCCACAGGGTTCTGGATCACTCATGTAACTCCGTCTTCTTTATCCTCTTAAAAGTTTTATTAAAAGCAGGGGCCATGCTTTATTCATATTTATTTCCTTCTTTCTCCCTAATTTTCCCCCATGTGTGGTCACACATGGGATAGCCCTCAAAAGTTTTTTGAAAAATAGAACCATCCTCTAAGGAAACTTAGAGATCATCTGGCCCAATACCCTCAGTATTCAGCAGGGAAACTGAGGCCCAGGGACTTGTCCAAGCCTAGAGACTAGGCCAAGTTGCTTCTTGCCTTGACACCGAGTTTGACACCATTTTTTTACTTAAAGAAGCAGCCACAGAGCCCAGGGGTGGATGCTGGGAGCAATCTTTGGGCGCAGACCTGCAGGAGGTGTCAGCCAGGGGCTAGTGCCTCCACTCTTTTTGGTCTTGGATCTGAGTTAAGGAGTTAGTGTTTGCTGAACGGACGGGTGAGGACTGAATGAAAGAAGAATGTCCTACCCAGACTCAGAGGGCCCCTGTGTTGACCTTCCCCATGTCTCTGTGTATCTTGCACAGAACACAACAGGGGCTGCTTGGGGCATCTTTTCAGGCCACACACCCGAGCGAGCAAAGTTCTCCAAACCCTGGCGGGCGAGTCCTCATGGAGGCAAGTCAGCCGGTTCAAGGGCAAGGCTGGGAGTGTGGCTGCCCTCAGCTTGTTCCAACCTGCAAGTTGGCTGCTGCTTCTCACTCTTCGCTGTGCCTTTCTTCGACTCTGTCTATGAGCTCATAATACCCCTCCCCTTCTCCTCTGTGCAACTCGCCCTTCCTTTCCTACCCACACTCCTTTGAGGCACCTGGTACTCACACCCCGGCTCCCGCTGGCCTCCCACTTACCCACCCATCCCTCTCCAGAGAAACGGCCCATGATGAATTTATGGAATGTCCCCAGGAAATCTTACCATAGTCCAGGCCCCCATAGCTCTTTCAACACAGGAAAGAAAATAAAGAAAAAAAAAAATCTAGCTAAGAGCGTAGGGAGGGGAGGGAAGCAGGCTGTGTCAGAACTGTGCACGCTTTCCCAGCCTGAGCAGGCGTCTGCCAGACTGCCCAGCACTCATCCATGGCAGCCCACAGGAAGGAATAGAATGTCCCTGAAAGGGGAAGTTTAGAGGAAGCAGAGACTCATGACAAGTGCATGACCATGAGGCCACTTCCTCTGAGCCACAAATATGCAGAAGGACCAGGAGGAAAAAGGACAAGTTCTCAAAGCCAAGATGGGAGATGTGTCATGCTTGCCCAGGCCGAGGGTCAGTGCATGCAGGTGACAAGAAGACAGGTGAAGCTTCGCCACCGGGATGGAACAAATCCAGAAACACCAGCTGCAATAGAGTGGTCAACCTGGGAGTCTTTATCAGGGAGGACCTTCACCAGGCTTGGCTTAAGGACTGAGACAGGTCCACGGATGAGTTGGGGGTATGAAAGAAGGGCACTCTAGACCTTGGGTGCTATAGAGTGCACCGGGGAGCTTGGAGGATTTGGTGGAGTGGAGGGCAGAGGTAGTGCCCAGAGGATCCAACCCCTAGGAGAAGCAAGTGAGAAGGATCTCGGGATTTTCACCGACCACGAGGTTGACAGGAGCCAACTGTGTGATACAAACGAGCAAAGTTAATTAGTCTTCGCCACACTGACAGAAGGACAAGTTCCAGGTCATGAGAAGTGGGGGCTCCACGTTGGAGATAACATTGTAAGGGGGCCTTAAGCCCACTAAAGTGTGAGATAAACGAGAGCTGGGGGGATGTGGAAGTCATGCCGTATGAATACTGTTAAAAGGATGTTAAGCTAAGAAGAGAAAAGGAGGAGACCATTTGGTTCAGATACTGTAATTTACTGAGCATGTATTTTGTGTCATGTGCTGTTCTAAGAGCTTATATCTACTAACTCACTCAGCCCATATGTAACTCCATGAAGTAGGTGCTATTATTATCTCCATTTTATAGATGAGAGGCCAAGACAGGTAAAGAAATGCAGCTAATGCCCCATAGCAAATAAATGGCAGACCCAGGATTGGAACCTTGATCACTGAGTTCCACAACCAGCATGCTCAATCATTAAGGTGTAGAGGACGACTTACACCTATTTGATGTGGCCCCAGAGGACAGGACAGGGCTATTGTATAGGAGTGATAGTAGATAGCTTTCCACTTAAAAAAAGGAAGAAGTTTCTTGTGGCCAAACTGTCCCATAATGGAAAGAGTTGACTCAAGTGGGGGTGAGCTCCCAGTCATCGGAAGTATTCAAGCAGAGACTGGATGGTCACAGGGAAGCTGTAGCAGGGCCCCTGCACTAACCACATGACCTTTGCAGTCCTGTCCTCGGTCTTTCTCTGCTCCTCTGGTGGGAGTGGGTGACAGAGCGGGCAGGCTGTGGCAGAGACAGGAGCAGAGAGGGAGGCCAAGGCCCCCTGAGTGCAGGCTTTGAAGTCACGGCTGGGTTCGAGCTTGCCCCAGAGTGTGATGGAAAGCCCCTCAGGGTCCAGGAGTAGGTGCTTGGCAGCGACAGGGATCGGCTTTGCCAAGGTGACGAGGGCAGGAGGCCCCGGGCAGGAGCCAGGGGAGCGACAACAGGCTGTTCTGGGCCGGTTCACTGCGATGGCATCCCTCCCGGCTAAGAGCAGGCTGTGGGAGGCCAGAGGACAGATGCTGGGTGCTAGCACCGAAGCAGATGGAGAAAGAGCAGTGGGAACAGCTCCTGTGTAGTGCTAACCACAACCTCATTTAATTCCACTTCCTGGTTGAAGGGAGGAGCCAGGTGCAAGCACAGGCCCTGGGGCGGTGGAGAGAAGGGCCAGCTGAGAAGGTAGCAGCCACCAGGACCTGGGGGGAAGGATTCCCTCCCTTCTTCCTCATCAGTCAAAGTCCCTCTGGTTCCTTCTCTTCATCTGCAGCTGCTATAAGGGGTGGCTCGATACAGGCCTCCTCCGACCCCCGGGCCTCACACAGCAGCAGGAAGTGTGTTGGCTCCTCGCTTTCTGTCCCCACTGGAAACTTGCCTGCTGCTCAAGGGCTGGTGACGAGACCTCTACCCTGTCCCTTGGAGCATCTGCACTGCGCCGTCCTCAGATCCCTCATGGCACGTCATTCTGCTATGACAGCATCTGACACAGGAGCAGCTACACATGTGTCTACCTCTCTTGAGATTCACAGATCCTTGCGGGCAGGGACCCTCCTTTCACATTTATACCACCCATCATCACGGTCAGAGCCAACATCTCTC